TCCATACCATTTAAGAGTGCAGACTACTTCCCGCTAATGGTCACAAGAGACCATCAGATATGACTAACGTAGTGTGGACAGGGGTTTCTGCAGAGGAGAACAGCTGTGACCTTCATCTGAGGCACTCAATCCAGCTCTGATAAAGGATATTGTAAATGACCTCCTCCACACTGCAAGAGTGAGTTTGAGAGTTAGACTACCAGTAAGAGGATCTTGGAGAAAGAAGACACTTTTATTTGAGTGTTACCCTTTAAAGTGAAGTGTGATAACTTAGCTGATGATTGAAACTTTAGTTCTTTTTTCAAACCCAAGTCAAGTTGGTCAACAAAGTATGAATTAAGATTTTCAATGCAACTTTGGACAGTCAGAGTTGCTTCAAAAGCCAAATTATGCACGTGATGTAGCAAAAGTAAACAAGTTCTAGTCCATAAGGAGAAAAATCCTCATCGTAATCTATTTGCGCTTTTATATTAATCATCCAACTCACTGTATGACCTGCCAACCATTAACCAAATCTCAGAGAGACGTTTATACAAGCTAGAACCCTAGTCCCCAAGCATGAATGGCAACACACTAATTCATGGTACAAACTTAGATCTACCCATTTTTTCTTCCTAATTTGAATTTCTATTTTTAGACAACTTCCAATCCCACATCCCGAGAAGACTGGGTCACCCACGTCTTCAGTGGCATCATGAATACTATTCCTTTTTTAGACAATAGTAAACATGAGCTACTAGGGGACAGGAACTGAAATGAACAGTTCCTGTTTTGCAATTCTCAAGGGCAGCCATGTGACTACATCATACTCCATTTAGCTGAAAGCAGATGAAATACATCCAAACAAGGCATGCAGGTTCGTGTGAACGGCTGACTGCCCTAAAACTGGAGTCATGACCTGGATGGTAGTGAACACTTGTTGTACATGCTTGAACAATCAGGAATCCCTTTTTCACATGAATTCGGTGTAATAATAGCCCATTTAAAACCATACAGCAAAATAAGAAAAAGGAAATTGTATTGGATATTAGTACATGTACATTTTTAAATGGACTACGCTGAAATGCACATTTTCTTCTAAACAGAAAGCTGCAGAGCTAGTAATTTGACCTCATACAGACAAAATGTCATGAAATGAATATTTCTAATGCTAGTATTTGACAGATGATTATGTATAAAGTAACAACAAGAACATTTACTGACAATTTCAATGAACTGATCCATCCTAGGGGAAGAAGACTTTTTTTAATTGCAATGTTATTAAATCACAATTAGAATGCAATTGTTTGCATACAAGTACTGCAGTCAATAATGAATGGCCAATCAAAATATTTTCTGCAAAACGAATCTGTTCACTAAAATTACTTACTTGTTAGCATTGATTTCTAAATTAAAATCACACAAACTTTATATTACAACACCAACAGTCTAGCAGTAAATGTGTCCTACATTGTGATGATAAATAAAAATGGGGTTACAGCAACTATTACAGTGCCAAGTGTACAAAAGGCTTTTCACAAGTTTGCATTAGCTACCTCAAAGAGAAACTTTTGCATTTGCTGCAAGATCACTGATATGAATTAATCAATAAAAAGTGATTAATGTTGAAAAAACACATTGTGACATTTTTCATCTGACACTCAAAGGGAAATAACATTTATACTGTACGAGCAGAGAGTACTGATTTTGTTTTAAATCAGTCTATTTGGATGTTGTATGATGCCATTTCATAGTCTTCCCATTCTGAGGTGGGATTTAAACCTAGCCCTTTTTGTAGGGACACTACACTATGTTGCAAGATACTAAGAATTCTTCTTAAAAAAAATCAACTGATATGAATAACCTATGACACACTCTGTGACAGCTGTGTTTTGAAACTGGACCTTCTCTCCCAAAGTTAGGGCCGCTACCACCCTGCACAAGAACCATAACCTGGAGAGTGCTGATTCATTGGCAAGTGGACTCTGATTGGTAGAGGTTTTACCATGGAGAATGCACAAGTTGCTTGATGATTGACAGAGACAAATGTGTCTTTTTTCAGCAATAGTCAAGTTCTTCTTGATCAAATGGCTTAAATAAATGGTTGGTAAGTGATGCTACCCAAGAGTGAAATGGTTTCTTTTATCACTGAGTTATGGCCAAATTCAAAAGTAGAAATTAAACAATATAGTATGACTATTGGATAAGAGTTGTGCAGTAGCATTCCATTAAAATAGAGGTATTGCATTCTCAATTAATTTCACTTGGGGTTTTAAGGACATCGACCAACGAAGATAAGCAAAAGGTTATGGGCCAAATATTCTAGTCTCTATTCTGCAGAGGCTGGTAGAATAACTGAAGACATACACCAGGACCCTGTGGAAGTCCTGACACACAGCCTTGCGTGAGAATGAGCAATTCCTCTTCTCCACAGTACCCTCCACAAATATCTCCAGGTCAGTTTAGAATCTCAGAGTCCGCACAGACCCACACTACTTGCTGGAGTAGTTAGACGGATTAAAACCTGGTCTGTTTGCTAGGTAACTACACAACTGACACCAAACACTCACCCACCACCCCGCCAATAATCTGCCAAACCACAACTGCTGATTATATGTTGCTGATTATGTGCTGATTATGACTCAACTACCCCAAAATCTGATTAAACTAGTTTGCCAATCCATTTATGCCCCTAGCCTGGCCCATGGATCCCCCAAGATCATATTTAATTACTCAATCCCCTGAACATCTCACCAACCTGACTGACTGCCCCAAAGCACTCACCCACCCATTATCCAGTCATTCATATTAAAACTGAGTATTTAAACCTAGCATGTCCTGTCTTATCCCAGCGGAGTATCCCAAGGGATGCTGCACTGCACATTTCTGTGAAAGCCAGGCTCTGAAGATCCCAGAAGAAAGGAGCACCAGCAGTAACCCAACTAGCATTTCCTGAGCAGCAGCAATACTTTCACCCTGTTTGTTCGTCTGTCAATAGGATATCTCAAAAGCTGCTGGACAGATTTCAACCAAATTTGGCACACTTATGATATTGTCCCCAGTGACAGTCTGGTTAGTTTTCTAGATCCAAATGTAGATCCTGGAATATTTTTAAAGAACCCATTAACATTAAGAGATAAGGTAAATTGACATTTTTTTAAATTAATATGATGGGCTGCTTTAAGACTTTCATCATTGAAGGTAGACAGAGGCAAAGTTTTCAACCAGTTTGTCAATCTATAAACAAACTCTCTCAAAAACTAATAAATGGTTTATAACAAAACTTGATACACAGGTAGAGTATGGTTCAAGGGAGAAAATATTAGCTTTTATTTCACAAGCACATAGATTCTGGAATTATTTAAAAGATATCGAGAGAAAGGCTGGTTTGATTTTCTTTTACAACTTGTGGATTATGTCAACAGTTGTGGTGGAATTTGTCAGAGCTGACAAACTGAGAGCTTTTTCAGAATAGAATGTTGGATGTGGTTTGGTCTGAAGTTTCCTAACTGTGATGTAAGTTCATAATAAAAGTTCTTTTTGAAAGCTTTGTCATTACAGAATATCAGCTAAGCAGGGAAAAAGCTCAGGAAGAACTGTATAATTGTAATAATTGAGTTAACACAACATAATGGAAATATGCACTTAGTAGGTAACTAGATCAAAGCAAAATGATAACATGAAAACTTCATTGTATTATTACTAGTTTGAAATTCTAACATTTTTTGACAATTATGAAGGCATTTTTAAAATGAATATAGTTTTGTAATTTTTTGTGTTCGTGGTCAAAAATGTCAGTGACATGGAATAGAAAGGCTTTCTATTGCTGACATTCAGCATTAAGCACTTCTCTCTCCCTAATGAGGTGCAACACAGGGTGATACTTTATTCTGCCTTAACAATGTGTTACAGTCTTAAGTTTCACATTCCTCACACCAACCAGTTTCCAGAACTGAGGTAGCCAGTTAGTACAGCGGGAAACTTTGCCATCCAATCAGTTTGTGTTGGACTCAAACCAATGTCCCCAAGGTTGAAGGAGCCTGTGCAATTACATTTTGCCACTCAGTTCTTCACCACAGAATTTTAATATAAAAATGTGACAAGAATTGTAATTAGTCTGTAATATCCTTTGACCAGCCACATATTACTAAAAATGTATTTATTTCTGAGCTGTTTGTGGTGTCATATTGTTGTTGCCATCTGCTAAAGGAATGGTAACATGCAAGTACAGTATTTGAGCAAAATATTAGTTATTTTGTAGTTTTTTAAAAATTGTACATACTAATATAGAGAAGGCCATTGCAATTCTGCAGTAAATTGAAAACCAAGAATATTTTCCACCCAGGGGACCTCTACTATTATTTTTAGATACCAGAGAATGTGTAATATGCCGTAACAATAGTTCAGACAATGCATGTTTGAGTGACCTTCAATTTTATCAGCAAAATGCTTTCAATTTCAAATTTCCCTCTCTCCCAGACAATATTTTGCAAAAGTATTTTTGCTTACGTTACTGAGCTACCAGTTCTGTTGAGCAGCATGCAAAACTACAAAGTGACACTTTGTTTTAAGCAATTAAATAATGTTTACGATGTTTATCACAAAGTGCAAAGTCTTCAAACTAATAGAATACGTCTTATGGTTCAAACTAATAGAATACTCAAACTCTCCTGACAGATTCAAACAATAGAAATTAGATTGTAAAGTTTGAGTTTTCCTCAAAACATTTCAGTACATCACTGGAGATTAAAAGTGTTTTTAAAAAAAAACCTCTTTATTCGCCTGAGCCTGTATTTACTATATGTTCCACCCTCAATAGCAAACAATCTATTCGCAAAGATATGTAACCTGTCAGCAAATTACAATTACCTGCTTCATATTATATTGTTCAATATAATGTTTCCTCTTGAACCTTGCAAAAGAATACCTAGTAAAATAATGATCACATCCTCTTATAAATGTGATGTAATTTTGCCCTGTATTATTTGATTACAGTATAAATTGCAGAATTGTACAATTACCACATCAGCCTGCTTCTTCTTGAGGTTCAATCCATTCTTCAGAAGTGCAGGTAGGTCTTTTATCTTCTGTTTTAATTGTCCTTGCCCCTTTACATTTCTCCATTTTATAGCAGCTAAAAGTCCTACTTCTGGGACACAGAAACTGCCAGGAATATCAGTCGGTTGAGCCATTCTCTCACAAGCTGGCACAAATACTCATTTTTCCTGTATTGCAATGTAGTTCAGTTTGCAGCTGAGTCCACTGTGTTCTGTTTGATAAGCTGCAGTTTTACATACTCCACCCAGCCATTTGCCTTCTGCTGTGCATATAATCTGCATCTGCATTGTATATCGCATACTGAATGAGGTCACCTACAGGTGCAGGATATCCCATTATGCAATGTTTCCTCTTCCATTGTAAACCTCCAGTGCTCTGAGAAAGCTGGTTTCTGTCTCAATTTTTGTTTCATACAAATCTGAACATTCACTATTAATAATTAAATTGTCACAACTGAGGCTTTGCAGTTGAAAACAATGTCACTCCTTTGGACAATGCAGTGCAAACCATCAAAAAAAATTCATCTGTAAATATTAAAATTTAGGTTACATTTGTGTTAGCAGACACTAGATGAACAAATGAATTTCTAAACTGTAATACTGTAGATGTGCTTTGATCTTTATCAGAGTTCTATAATCTCCAGTGACCACAGTATCTCAGATTTGTCATGCTTTATTAACTTATTACTCTAATGTAAATAATTAAACAATAAAAGTATTTAACAATAATTAACGAATATTCAAATGCTGCATTTGCCAGTTACACAATGTACATTTCTTTCTTCTGTTAAACAAATAATGAATCCTTTGCTCTTCTACTTTGAGATTCTAAAACGTCTGTTTCAACGACAATGTTCATTTATATAATACCTTCAATAGCTAGTTATTATTACTCTTTGTTCATTAAAGTAATTGCTGTTTGTTCCTTATTTGTGCCAGACTTCCAAGTGACTGTTCTATTAATTAATGGCAAGCAACATATAAAAATTCATCTTGCCACTTTGTTTCTTGTACTGTTTAAAGAATGAGTACAATGCAACAGGTAATGTGTACCACAGCATTACTCTGTTGTATTCTCAAATACTTTTAGGATAACACAATGTCTACAATATTTTGCCAAGGTGCCATACATGTCAGGATTCACCGTGTCCAAGCAACTTTAATATAGTGGTGGTGATTCATCCAGTGTAAAGCCAATTTAAGAAAAAAAGGTTTCCAGGTTTTTGGTGGCCTTTACAGAAATGTTTCAAAATTAAGTTTTAAACTAATCTTCAATACCAGCAAAGAAACCAACTATTCTGTCAGCTTTTCATTAACGTTGAGAAGCAATGAACAAAGCTCTGTGTGCTAACACAAGAACACAAGGCTCCAAATTTTCTGGCCAAATGGGAAGCAGAACTAGCAATATGTCTCATGTTGGCTGGATATACACCACTTCCAACAGGTATAATTATCAAAAATGAGACTGTCATATCGCAGCAGCATTAGGGATGATTGCTTAGCAATTTCAGCTTTATTACTGGTGCTAACAAAGATATTGGACCCATTACTGTAGGCCAAGGTTTCTCAACCATCTCTTTGAGATGTCCCTCAGTGTGATACCAAAAAAAGACCTCGTTGTAAAATTGCCCACCCCTAAATGAAAATTAGTTAAACAAGTTTTAAAAATTACACAATGGAGCATATTATTCCATGAAAGATGATCCATCACTTTCGCACAGTCTGAGTCAAAATAATATCATCCATTTAGCAGTTCAACAGAGGAAAGACTCCCTCATTAATCCATATAGCAATATCATGAACCCATTTATAAAGAACCAATGTTCAACAGAAGGCTGTAAAATACCAAAATGGAGAATAAGACGCTATTTCTCCAGTTTGCATTGGGCTTCACCAGAACATACAACCTAGAAAGAAACGTGAGCACCAAGAGCAAGATGGTGCATTAAAATGATAAGTGGCTGGAAGGCCAAGGTCATGCTTCTGGACTGAACAGAGGTGTTTCACAAACTGATCACTTGTGGTTGGTCTCCATAGTATAGAAGAGGCTGCACTGTGAGAATGAATGCAGGAAACTAGATTGAAAACAATAGATGTAAAACAGCTGCTTTTCCTGGAAGGATGCTTAGAGCCTTTAACAGTGAAGAGGTAAAAGGGCAAGTGTTTCCCACCCCTGCAACTACATGGGAATGGTCCATGGGTGAGGTTACAGTGGAACAGGAGGGAACAGGCTCTTTGGAATGCCCACAGGAGGAAAAAACAGGTTTGATGATGACAACTTGCTGCAGATGACAGAAATGAGGACAAGCGGAATCCTTTAGTGATTCTGGGAGGAAGAGGAGATGTCCAAAGTGTAGGAATTGTGTGAGACTCACATTGAAGGTTCTGCCCAAAAATGTGGGGGGAGTCCATATTTGAGGAAAAAGACTTTTCAGAAGCATTATGTGGACATGTTATGAAGTTTGGCAAGATTCTTAAAGGCAATTTATGTACTGAAAACATAGCAAGCAAGCAACTAATAAAATCCAGTATTAGTGATAAGAAAACATTGCGATTGTTGTAAAAATGTCATCTGGTTCACCAGTCTTCTTTCGGGAAGAAATCTGATGTTTTTACCTAGTCTTACTTGCATGGGACTCCTGATCTATACCAATCTGGTTGGCTCTTAATTGCCCTTTGAGTGGCTTCTGGGCCACTTGTAATAAACTGCTACAAAATCAAAGTGAAATGAAACAAGAGGCAGCACCCTGAAGGCTTTTATTCCAACTTCGGATATCAATGGCAAAGGCAGTTCTAACAATGGGATATATCTAATGTTCTTTATTAAAGCAAAGTACACAAGAAAGTACTGCAGAAATCTTAACCATACAATGCTTATAATCGCAAGTGATCTGGATTACAAGGACTTGTCCAAGACTTGAAACAGATGGTCAGCCCAATCCATCTCAACCTCCAGTCACTGATCAGATGGTCTTGTTCTCAGCTAGCTATCACCAACACAAGATTTCTTATTCTTTTTCTCCATAGTGTGTTCAAACTCTGTACGCAGTCTCCAGCAATTTGATCAGTTCAACCATTAGCAAACGTTACTGATGTGCCATGCTTTCCATGACAGGTTTGATCAATTACTCATTAGGACTTGTTTGTTTTGCTTGAAAAGAGGGTTATCCTTTGAGTTTAATCAAATTTTGATCTCAGACTTAACTTGCTCAGCCTATTGTCACATATATGTCATCCAAACAACCAAATGATATTTACACAGGACAATTTTCAGATCGAGCACTCTGTTTAGCTGATAGATCTGATATCCTAGTCTGTTTTAAAACAAGATTCCAGCCTTTCAAACATTAAGTCCATTATAGTTGAGTTACAGCATTTAATCAAAATACACACTCTTTCAAACATAGAAACACATTAAAACCAGTGACCTTTCTACCCATTCAGTCATTATCCAGCATTAACTTTTCAGTACAGGAGATTTCATACGGTTTTTCTTTCATTTCATTTTGGCTAACCTAGCAAATGTTAGGGTAGTATCTCCAATCCATTATCACCCTAGGAAACAACAATGGCAAATCCCTGCAAAATCCTCCTTACTAATTTTTCTGGATTTGTGCCAAAATTGGAACAGCTGTCCCACAGACTGAGCAAGCAACAAATAAATGCAAGGTAGTGTGGATGCTGGAGATCTGAAAATAACAAAAGTGCTGGAGAAACTCAGCAGATCTGACAGCATCTGTGGAGAGGGTAACAGAATAAATGTTTTGAGTCCTATATAACTCTTCAAAACAAGGAAGCAATAGCCTGATGCAGTTGAACTCTCAGAATCATGCCTTTCAGATAATTCTGGGACACTACCATACTCCCTATCAATATCATCATAAATGCCCTGTCCCACAAGCTGGTCAGAGCTACCACAGATGGTGTCAGTGGTGAAAAATCAGGAAGGTGTTGTGCTGGGAGTCTTTGACATTGACTTTGGATCTCGCGGACTCTTATGGCATCAGGTCAAACATGGGCAAGAAAACTTCTTTCTGATTACAAATTACAAAGTCACCAACAGCCATCATGGACCACCCCAAGCCAGCTGATGAATCCACAAAAAACACCATTTGAAAGAAACAGAAAGCATCAAGGACACAAAGTACTCTGGGTCTGGGTCTGGGACTTCAATGTCCATCACTAAGAGTAGCTCAGCAGGAACACCACTAACACAGCTGGATGAGCCTTGAGGAGCATAGCTGCTGGACTGTGTCTGCAACTTGCGGACAGGAAATCAACAAAAAAAATTCTAAGTGATATGTGATACCTACCACAGATTCATTACAATATTTGAGAGTGACCATTATATAACTCTGTGGAAACCACGTCCCATTTTCAAGTTGAGGATACCCTGCAACTTGTTGTGCGTGATTATCACAGTGCTAAATGGGTTAGATTTTGAACAGATCTCGCAACACAAAACTGGGCATCTATAATGTGTTGTGGGCCATCAGTAGAACTGTATTCAGCTACAATCTGTAATCTTATGATCTGACATATCCCAGACAGTGACACTCACATCCTGTCTAAGATTTAAAAAAAATCCCCACCTTATATCTGAAAACTTGCTGAAATGTCAAACCAGGTGAATCAAACATTTGAGAAATAAACAGGATGATGTAAAAGTTCCATTTATCATTTGAGGTTGTGGTTTTCAGACTTAAAATACAGAATGATGTTTGATATTTTCAGCCTTACACCTATTGAACTAGGAATCTATATTCATGATATCAAGAATTGTGATGCCATTATTCCAGCTGTAATGTATTTTTACATTGATCACGCTCTGGAGATGGAACCAAACAGATTACACTTTAACATTTGTCCTCACGTAATCAATAACCAGACATTACAATCCTTTTTAAAGATAGGAATCCCACTTCTGCATTACACAGGCTGTCTGGCGAAGCATTTCAAGGTCATTAGCCTGGTGTGTAGAATTAAAATGAATTGGATTACAAAAATGCACACAAAACAATCATGGTATTTCTCAATGTAAGATACTCAACAATTTTCTTTGTATTGCTCTGATACATTGAGGTTTTAATCATTTTATTGAATAAACCCATTATAACAGCAGGGCTCAGAGCTTCCCAAAGTCTGTCAGGATGCTGAAAGCCAGAAGTGTGGCTGAGCCAGCAACATTTTGTCTTTAACCCACCTGAACAGCAGGCTGGCTTGGGCAAATTGACTTTTTGTCCCTGATGT